TTATCAGCAATCTGCCTAAACTTGGCATAGTCCCACTCCCTTGGGTATGAGCTACCCCCACAAATCAGTATCTTTGGATGAAAATCCATTGCCCTCTCCTCAACCTTATCATAATCAATATACCCTGTTTGTGGATTAACCTTATAAGACAGGCTTTCGAAGAATATTGAAGCCCCTGATATCCTCTTACCACCTGGTGTCAAATATCCATGGCTCACATGCCCGCCTGACAGAGAATCCAACCCCATGATCCTATCCTTCGGCTGCAAAAGCCCTGTATAAACAGCAAAATTCGCAGATGTACAAGAATAAGGCTGAACATTAACGCTCCAACAATCGGGATCAAGACCAAACGCAACCAGTGCTCGTTCACAGCAAAGACGCTCAATCTGATCAATGTATTGATTGCCACCGTAGTACCTAGCCCCAGGCATACCCTCCGAGTACTTGTTCGTCAGATGGCTCCCTAGGGCATCAAGGACGGCCTGGCAAACAAAATTCTCCGAGGCAATGAGCTCGATCCCCTTGATCTGTCTCTGTCTCTCCTTCTCCATAATCTCATGCACATCTGGATCGGCCACTGACAAGGTCTGGTTCCCCCAAGAACGGACCACAGCCCTACGCGTATCGAGATCCGGCTCCACCAAAGCTCTCTTTGAAGGATGCAAAGAGGAAGAAGACGAGCATGAAGACAAGGATTCACCTCTTCGTTGTCGCTTAAGGCTCATCGGATATCCAAGGATACTGAATTCCTCCTCCCTCTGCCCGTCCACGGAATCTTCGCCGTCCTCGATCCCGACCGAGCCGCTCCACCGATTCTCCGATTGCTGGTCAAGCAGCTGCAGCGGGATCGGTCGCAGGCTCGCGTCAGTTTGAAGAGAGGAGACGTCGTCGGCAATCGGTGAGCGGTGCGCATGGAACCCAAGCGAGAGGTTGGATTGAGATTGGGAGAGATCCATACCACGAGAAGTTGGAAAGAATAAACTCAGCCCTAAAGCTACAAGCTAGGAGCAGCAGCGACAGCGACAAAAACAGCGGAAGCAACGGAAGCAGCGGAATCGGAGGAATGTAGTGGGGAGGAAGAGCGTGTGGCGAGACGCCTCCATGAACGGTTAGGGTAGCAGATAGAATGTCTACGAGAATTCCACTGCTCGTCGCCGAGAAGGCAAGCCTTTATTAATGACAGCGAGGATGCACCTAGACGGAATTCGGGGACCGGGTGCGAAGGCCTAGACCGGATTCATTTTTCGCATAGACAGGTACGATTCCGACTGATAACGGGTTAGTCCGAACAAGGCATCATAGACCGTCCGAGTTCATCCTTCGTCGGACTGCTTGCATGCGTGCGTGTGGACAGTCAATGTGAAAATAATGCAAAGCTATTTTCTTATTTTTGTATTGTTTTCTTTGTAGCTGCACCTCAGAATTTCGTGATTAT